ATCCAGGGTACTGGATTAGGGTGGTGCCATACCAATCAGTGGACTGATGTAGTAATCACACACCCTTATTGGGTTGCACCATAAATCAGTCACACACTGTAGATTCAGCCACCTCTGGAAAAGCCCCATGTATGACTGCATGAGGCTTCGAGGGGGCGTCTGGACACAAGCCATAACCAGTGTCATCAGCTAGACAGACTGTTAGGTCAGGAGTGTTTTCCCTAGGCCTCCTCCCAGTGTGGGCCGCCACGTGCTTTCCAGGCTCTCTGACTCCGCTCTCATATTAATGAGAGGCATTTCTCCTACTGTGACAGAAACTGAGATCCAACTGAGTTTCCTTTTTTCTTTTTCTTCCATAGTTGCTCAAAACTGGCTACTTAATAACAAAACTCTTCTGGGGTCTGTAACCATCGTTTGTAACCACTAGGGGTCAGGCTCTTCACAAACAGTTAGTGCCCTGTAAGTCACCCTTGCGCACTATTTGCCAATAGAATTCTTGGGTTTTATTAGGTTATTCTTCTCTCTAGCCCCAGCAGAACCTATTTTGTAGAATATATTTATTTTAATGGAAATGAATAAAATATTGAGAATTTTGTTGACATTCCGAAGTTTTGCCATTGATGTAGATTGCCCAGTATGTCTTAGGTTCTTTCATAGTGTCGTTTTATAATACAAATTTTAGTATTGAAAGAGTGCTCATAGACTTCTTGACCATCTTCTAAGACAAGGAACAACTGAATCCTTATCTTTCACGAATAGCTTTGTTTTCTCCTCAGATTATTTCTAATTGTATTTTTAAAAGCCATTATTTGTGTAGTAAACTATTAGAAAGAAATGGATAACTATGTGAGGCCATGGAGGAAGATACCATAAATGGGTCAGCTGATAATGAATGAATTATGAGAGACTATCAGAGGAATCCAAAAAGGTTCCCTTTTAATCTGTAAAAAAATAACTTCATATGAAAGCACTGACTATATACGCCATCATTTGTATTCTTTTTGTGACCTGGTTTTGTTGTCTTCTCCATGAAATTTGAAAACTTGTTTACGAATTTTTATGTACATATTAATAAAATAGTGATTTATGTTTTTTTTCCATTTCAAAAAAAATTTAGACAAAAGTTATTTCTTTAAAAACCAAGTTTGTCTAAATGCTTTACATTTTTTTATTTACTGAGATGTCTATTCTGCAGATAGTTTTTTAATTTATGTGAGAAGACAGAGTTGGGCCTATGATTCAGAGTGGTGCCAGTGAAGTCTCACTAATGAATTGGTGTTTTATAATAAGTTCCTTGTGAAGATGTTGTGTTCTGTATAAAATTGTAGTCTTCCTAGGTTAAAAGTAACTGTTGCTTTCTTTGAAAGCATGCTGTTGCTCAGACTTTTTTCCCACTTTATTTTGAACCTAGGATAGAAAGCTGATAATTTTACTGTTTTTCTGTGGTGGTAAACAGGCATTCCCCCTTGTCAGAACCATCTAATGCTAGTCTTTCCTGATTAGGAACCTGTTGCATTTGATTCACATTGCCTGTTTAAATGGTCATCTGAATACTACATCTTCATTCAGAAAAGTTCGGTCTAGAGAGCCACATGTTTCTTAAAAACTACAAAAAAAAAAAAGAAAAAAACCTCATTCATTTTTAATTTCCCAACTTTTATAAAAGTTAAAATAATTTTGACATGTCAGGGATTTTATATTAATAGAAGCATGATTTCTTGAAGTTTTAATGGAAACATGTTTGCATTATTTTAAATATACTTTTCATAGAACACAGTTTTAGGGAATGATAGCAGCAAGGTTTGCATTACCTCTGAAGACACAGTAAGGAATTGGATTTCCTTCTGGAAGTGCATCTACAGTTTGGCTGTGACATTTCTGCAGATAGTTAAAAATTAATTTTAGCCAGGCATGGTGGCACATGTCTGTAATCTTCATACTTTGGAGGCTGAGGCAGGAGAATGGCTGCATATTAAAGGCCAGCCTGGGCTCTACATAGAGAGTTCAAGGCCAGCCTGAAACACAGTGAAAAACTTGTCTCAAAAAAAGAAAACCAAGTTAATTTTGATTTATATTATTTAACCCATAAATCCTTTGATTTGATCTTTAGGAGTCTCTGAGAAGCAGATGGAACAACAAATATGGGAATTAAATGAGGTTTTCAGTGGTGGCCAACTAGCTAGAAGGTAGTGGATTTAGGAGACTCTAAATCAAGTACACTTTCTATGATAGTCCTAGAACTAAATATTTAAGTAAGTACATTTTTCTCACAAATAGAAAAGATACCAAGTACAAATAGCAAGTATTTATTTAAAGAGAAATATGTTCTTAAAATTAGTCATTGTGTTAATATTTTGACCCCGATTTTCTAAGGAATACAAATTATTCTTAGGAATTACTCGTAAAGATAGGAGGGAAATAAGCTTTCTGAGATGTTGATCTCATGATTAGCCTATCATCTTTCATAAGGCCCTGAAATAAAGAACTTGCTATTCTTTGAAGTAAAGAATAGGCTATTCACATGAGTAGAATACCGCGTTTGCTCAGTATACGTTAAATACATACATGGTCTTCTCCCTCTAGGTGGCTCTCTGGGTCTGCATAGATAACTAACTTGAAAAATGTGGGCTGTTCTACCTTTCTTTTGCTCTATGAGACTGGTAACATTTTAAGTAGTTAAACTCTAAAGCCTATGAACAGGTAACATCAACTATTCCAAATGAAAAATAAAATAACCAGGCAAATTAGAACTAACATTTTTTTGTTACATGCCCGCACACTTGGAGGGAAAAAGGGAAGACAGACAAGTGAACTTGTAATTGTTTGCATTGGGATTGAATCTATTAAGATGTATGAGAGTTCTGTTACATGCCTTATTTTCTAGGCTACAATCATTTGTATTCCCTGAAAGATAAATTTCTTTAACATTGGAGTGGTAATTTATCTATATTTTTAATTTTCCATAGAAAACTTGTTTTGGAAAGGGAATAAAATTAATTCTGTACAGAATGATTGTGCTGAACTAGGAGAAAAAATTTGTAGTTTCTCAGTCTGTGTGTGTGCCAGTGCTTTTTCTTCCCCTAGACTATTGTATACTCTGGTCCACAGCAGTGTGACATTTACTTTCACCACTGTATCAGAAACACTTGGGGTTTCGGGATATTTCTTTTACCCAGATAACAAATAGCGTCTTATTTCTTGTAGCAGTTTCTTCCCTTGGTGTCATTAAAAATCCCTGGTTGTTCCCATTCTTCTTGTAACAACTGCTTCTTGTTTTGGATGCTTTAAAAAATATTGGTATCTTAGGATGTTTCTGTATTTGACTTCCTTCTCTTTCTACTGTGTATACTCTCTGGAGATGGTTTCATGTATGTCAAGCTTTCAGCTACCATCTATACAATGTCTTAGTCCCTATAGGTTATGATAACTAATACACCTTAGATTTAGTGGTTTGAGGAACAAATATTTTATTTCTTACAATTCTGGAGGCTGAGAAGTCCAGGGTTGAGGTACTGGCAGATTGAGTGTTTGGTTGGGGTCATTGTGTGTTCGGTGGGGGCATAGCCATTTTCTATGTCCTTACCTGGTGGGAGAGGCAGGAGAACTCTCAGGGGTCTTTATACAAGTCTATGCATAAGGGTTTTACTTTTATGATTTGATTGCCTCCCAGAGATCCCCACCTCCCAGTACTGTCATATTAGGGATTATTAGCATTTTGACATGAGAATCTGGGGAGAGGGGTTTATACCAGTGGTTTCCATGTCTATGTCTCTGGTCTGTTTTTCTTCTGAACTCCATACTGAGTCTTTCCCTTCCTGCTCTGGCAGACCTGGAGTAGGTGTTCAGGCATTCAGACACTGGTGCAGTGAATATGGTACTCTCTGCTTTTCCTCAAACTCCTCCCCAGTATTCCAGTTTGGCTTGAGAGTCTTCGGCCTATTCTACCTTTTTTTTTGCTCCACATTCATGCTACAGTCTGGTGACTGTTTGTATCCAGGTTTGAGAGTAAAAGGTGAGGAAAAAACACTGACTCAGTGCACTCAGCCCTTCTCCAAACTTGCTTTCATTAAATTCCAGTGTGGCTTCTAGTGTCGGTCCAATCACAGTGTGATTATTGAGTCACTTGTCCCCCTGTATGTACCTTAAAGCTTGTGAGTATGGAATTAATAAATGTAATTTATTTCATTTTTTCCTTTTTAAAATTTGTGTTGGGGCTGGGAATTTAGCTCAGCGGCACAGCGCCTGCCTGGCAAGTGCAACGTCGTGAGTTCGATTCCTGATACTGGGGGCGGGGGGGGGGAATTTGTGTTAAATTGAGTGATTCATGTTATGTATTGATAGGCTTCATGGTTTGATTGTGTAGCTTATGGTGATAGAAAATTTTTGAACCTTACTCATGAAAATAAACTCCAAGATTTGAGTAATAAGTCAAGACACATACTATAGACATACAATTCCCCATAGCATTTCTTCATAAATCCTTTAGAACTTGATCAGAAAAAAAGCTAAATAATATGCAGAGTGGATACCAGCAGTATGTTTTAAGAATATCAATAGTGCTTGGTTAATGAAATTATAAATGATACCATTACATTATGATACAAATAGTGCTGTGTATGTAGCCACCATAGAAATAGAAAAGGTGTTCAATTGTCTAGGGTAGCAAATTAAAACCAGACTACCCCTTGTTATATTTAAATCGTTCTGTTGTAGTGCCGTAATATCTTAATGGCATGCAGAGGAAGACAGCTTTTTGCAGTTGGTTGAGAGTTATTTATTTTTGGCTTGAATTGGCATAATTCTCTCTTCAGCTTGGGGAGGAAAATGAAAAACCTGTGTGAAGAGAATGTTATATACAAATGGGTGCCCATGCTGCCTAGTGCTTTTAATTCTAGGAATCATGACTAGAATTGATTATCTCTGAGTGGTGTTGAGCTCAAGGATGCTGGAGATGATGTGCAGATTGCCACTCACTGATCCCACCCTCTGTGCCTTTGTAGGTACATGGACTGTATCGCACAACGGGTGCTAGTTTTGAGAAGGCTCAACAGGAGTTTGCAACAGGTGTGATGTCCAACAAGACTGTCCAGACTGCAGCTGCAAATGCAGCTTCCACTGCGGCAACAAGTGCGGCTCAGAGCGCTTTCAAGGGGAACCAGCTCTAGAGGCCTCCGCAGTGTGCTGTTACCTTCTGACGGTACCATTCTCTCCAGTTACTGTATTCTGCAGATGTTTTTATGTTGGAAACACAGTACACACAGCATGGATATTTCCTGTTCACATGTGCATGGGCTAAAAGCAGAAAACTTCCTCACCTTATTTTACCAAATAGTTTTTTCATATTTCAGTTCCCCAGCAGAAGAATATTACATGCTAAATAAATATTCTCCATATTTTCGGAGGATGGTGTTCAGCAAATTATTTCAGTGGTGACTCGCTGAAATGAACATGGTACTTACAATCTAAAAAGCTCTTAGCACTAACTGTAGTTGTTCTTTCAAGACCCTTTAAAGGTAAGGATGACACAGGAAAGCATTCTTTTTTTTCCTTATTTATTTTGAAAGAAATAGGCCAGCAGAGACATGAATTTTAAGTTGACTTGCTTCTCTATCAGTTTCATCACCAGTGAGAGCCTGTGTGCTTTGTGGTAGATGATGTATATTTGGTCTTCTTTATTTTCTTTTTTAAGAGTAGCTGATATTTTGATAACAATTCTGATCTTGCATGGCAACATGTTGCTTAAAAGAATTAGTGTTTTGGGTTCTGTACTGCGTATAGTTATAGGAATCAGGGTTGTTTATGGATCATAGAAGCGATTTTCTGTAATAGTTGCTTTTAAATAAGAATTTCTTGGGGCACAGTATGAGACTTTACTATAATATGCAGTGCATTATCCAAAAGAGAAGTTAGTTTGTCAATGCAATAGAGTATAGTAATAAGAATTCCTTTTATTTTATTTCTGATCATCAGTATTCATATAGTAAAATTTTACTGTATGGAAACTTTTGTATATTCTTGTGGGTACTCTTTTTTTAATTGAACTGAGATTGTGTTTGTCAGCTTATTTTTGGGGTGCGTGTATGTGTGTGTGTAATTTTTGACAGAGGTGTTAAAGGCTAACCTAATCCTTGTCTAAAAAGAATATACAGTATTTAAGGAATTTTTCTTTTAGCTTCTCACTTCTAGTGGTATTAAAAATAAAATGACCTTAGCATTTCTAATATACTTGAATCCATAATGCACCTACGTCTTTCACTTTTTGAGATAGACCAAATACATTTAAATTGTTCACCAATAGAAAAATCAAAACATTGCACCAAACAAAAAAGTATGTATACAGTCAAAGGCATTAATTATGAACATAATCAACATTGAAATCATTACTGTGCCACATAGAACTTTATTCTTAGGGAATACTTGGGTTTAAACTTTGAGTTATTTTTAATATTGATTAAATGACTCAAATTTCTAAATCTTGCTACTGTGGTTTGAAAGCCTTTAGATAACTTTTGACTGCAGAATGATAGGTAGTGATTTATTCAGCCTGATTTTAAATAAGGATGATATCTTGGATTATATTGAGACCAGTAGTCTTTTTTTAAAAAAATCAAGTGGGCATAAATGTGAATACATCACTTTTCTTCTCCTTCCCAAATCTGGAGTTAAAGTAAGTTTCATGTTGGGGGTGGGATGCCAAGTTCTTACTGTTGAGGAAGCTCTGTGCTGCTTGGAAACACAGCTCATCTAGACGGTGTTTACATTTGCGCTATTTGGGACTTTACCGAGTACTATAGTTGGAAGGTATTTCTTTTATGCTGAATAAAATAGGATTCAGAGTATGAAGTAAATCTGTTTTATAAATACTTCCCATCAGTGATCATCTTCATCTACATTCTCACCCACCTCATCAGTTCTGGTCCTTTAGATCCTGTAGTCATAGTGAAAACTTACTTTATTGAGTGTGGGTTTTACAGACATTCAAAACATTAACCACAAAATACAAGAGCACTGTACCTGCCACTAATATATATTCCAAGTTCATTTTTTGTTTTTCTTTCATAAAAGAAAAACATACAATAATAACAAAATATTTATTGTATGAGACTTCTGAAAAATACTGATAGTCTCTCCTTCAGAATTGCAATGTTTCTTTTATGTAGAAATCTTCAAAGGTAACGTTATTAAAAGCAAACAATTATTACAACCCACAGTATCTTTTTCTGTGTGAATAGAAAAAAAAAAAACTTTAAATTTAGATTTACCTGGGTTAATACAAGTTTGAGAGGGAAAATTGTTTTTAAAAACATAAGTATACATTAAAATGATGACAATGCCTACAGTTTGATCAGGTATGAAAGCAGCTTTAAATTCTCATATTCACTATTTTCTTGACAATAATCAGTAAACAGTTACATTTTATTTAGCAAAAGATTGCCATTTGTTAGTGTTTCATACTTAATACTAAAATTATGTGGCACCACAATCACGAAATAGTGTTCATATCGTGGGCCTACATGTCATCTTTCAGTTTGCATTATTAAATCATGGCTGTTCTATTTCAAGCTAAAGTTTGATCACTGGAAAAATCCTTGCTCAGTAATTTGTAAACTGGGTCTTAGTTATTGATCTGGGGATGTTTGTATATTTTGTAGGTGCGTATACTGCGCTGCCGTCATGGTGACTGTCACAGTTCTGTACCAATGCCTTCCATCTGTCCTCTGATGTTGCATGTTTTCAGTGGTTTGGAAGTTTTGTATATTTATTGTATTAATGCAGAGTGTCATAAAATAAAATACTGTTTATTGGATATTTGTTTGTATAATTTTAAACACTATTCGTAGTTCAGATGCAGAAATTATGCATGTAGCTAGAAGTTTCTTTTCACATTTAATTTTTTAAAAATGTATCATTGCTAAACAGAATATAAAAGATTGAGTTAAAAAAATCACTTAGCAACATAAAGTGACATTTTTTTTTCTGTTGCAGTTAGACCTTTAGAGGTAGTACAACATGATCTTCACCCATGCTAAATATTTTACCCATGTTTAAGGACTAGAAGTTAGATGAAAAGGAAAAACTTTTCCTTGACTTGAAATTGGTGCGCCCGAGTTGTGTAGTCCTGATTTGACGGAACCTGGGTTCTGTTCCCAACCTTGCTCACCTGTTCTCCGCACTGGTGAAAGTACCTATTTGTGCATTGGGCACAGCTAAAAAAGATGTAAAAGTATAATCTAAAAATCATGTTTACATTGTATCTTATTTTGAGAAATGTATGTTGGAATAAAATAGGAATTTTTGTTTTTAATTTTCTGAGTGCTGACTAAAAAAAGATAAATTTGAATTTTTTTTACCCTTTGTTTACTATAATTGATGTTGAGGTAAAGTATAGCTCGCACTTCATGGGGCTTTATGCGGTTAGGGTTATTGGCTGTTTCTCTAAGTGATTTGTAACGGTGCAGTGTTTCCATACTGACTGCTGAAAATGCTGACATCAGCATCCTCTGTATTGGTCAAATTTGTGTTCGGCATGACTGTTTACAGAATTTACATTTGAACATGCTTCCCTATTATGTGTGGCTTAGAATTAGTATGGCTGTTACACACTATTTCACTACATATCTTTCCATTTTTTTTTCCATAAGGAGAACATTTAGAGGAATTCGTTGATTCTATGTGATTAAACCTTTAGAGGTAATATAAGAATGGTTAACTTAAAAATTAATTGAGGATGGTTAAAAATAGCAAAGGCCTCACTTTGATAAGTTTTCAAATACCACAGTAATTTATTTAGATTGCAGTGGAATAATGTTTTGAAAATGTTAGAATTGTTTAAAATACTTTTTCTTAAACTAAAAGTTATATCTCAGTGGTCAAGTACTATGAAAAAATGAAGGATTTCCACTAGAATTTTAGGGCACATTTTATAGAGCATGTGTGTTGTATTCACTGATCTGTAAGTAAACAGCTCGGATGTAAAGATTCTAAGTGATGCCGAACCTTTTAGAGAGACATGTTCCCAAACTGCAATCCTGAACCCGTTTATTTATTGCAGAGTGCCAATGCTGCAGTTAAACCCAAATGCTGAGGTTTTAGTTTAGGAAAAACAACTCATGCATCAATATCTTTTATCTTAAAAGAAGAACAAATACTGTGTATTCCATAGGTTTGCTACCACTGTCCTAAAGAAACAGGAAAAGACCTGCTGTGTTCTTACCCTCCCCGTGAGTTTACATCATATTTTTACTCTTTGCTTTGGGGAGACAAAACTTTCAGCCTGTAGAAGTTTTATGAGCACTGTTCGTGTTCTCAGCTGGCATAGGAACCCATGTGGTAGTGCAGTGAGTGTTCTGTGTCGTGTATGCAAAAAGATAACTCAGGTTGCCCATAATTGTATACCCATGAGAAACTTCTGTTGAAGTCTGATTTATATTTTCCTGTTAGTTTTTGTAGAAAGACGTCTTAAAACTAAGAAATGACACTCCCCTGTACCTCCTCGTAGCAGGTCCTTTAGGGATGTTTACGCAGCTCTTTCAGGCCATTTCTTTGCACCCCTGACGACCGTACTGGTCTAGATGTCATCAGGTCATGGTGCGCTCAGCCCTGCCTCAGGGGTTTCCATGCTGAATAGTGGGATCCAGAACTGCACTCTTTTGGACTTGGCGCCTCTGGGGTGGCCATGTTCTTCTGTGAAAGAGGAACCATGAAGAAAGCTGGTCGCACTGAGAATGAAGGTTGAAGCGGATGTGCAAAGGGACACGGAAGAGACCTTCACAGCTTTCCCTTTCCCTCTTGAGGCCCACCTGCTCATCTGATTCCAGCCCATTATCCTCCTCATATTCTTAGCATCTTTTCTCCCTGACTGTTCCTGAATAATTTCTTACTACTTTCACTGGAGCATTCTAACTAACACAGTGGTCTATCATTTTTCCGTTACTATATTTCTGAATGTATTTCTGGAATACTTAACTGTACAGCTGTCATAAAGTGCTCTTACTCCCTTATGTTCAGATGTTCAGGTTTCTTTATTATAAATGATTATCAAGGAATACATTGTCACTAAATTTTGGGGCCCAAGCTTCTTGTCCTTTCCTCAGGACAAATTGCTGGATCACTGGTACACATATTTTAACAAGACCCTTAATGTGGATTGCCAAATTGCTCTCCGATTTTTGCCTCCATGTTATGTGACTTGTGTCTCCCTCCACACCCTCACCAGTACCAGATGATCCTTTTCCATAAAGTCTTTTATACCAGAAGTTTTGATAAATAACAAGGAGGTCTGTTTTCTAATCATTCTGCTTTCCCTTGAGTTCACTCAGTGTTGGTATGTCTGTCCGTCTGTCTCTCTGTTTCTCTCTATGTATGTATAGTTTTGCTAAATGGGGATATATACTGTATCCATGGAGAAACCTACTTCCTGAAATCTCTAAGGTGAAGTGATCAGCTGAACGGTTTTATGTGGAAAAAGAAACAGTGGCTTGAGGTAGCCAGTCTGCTGAGTCTCTCCAGGTAAAATTAGATTGATTTGATGACAAAATGTAATTTCTCAAGACAGCGCTAAATAATATTAACCTGGGAAGACAGGGTTGTCTTAGTTTTCTTCAGATATTAAAGCCTTGCTATATACTAGTGACTAGTTACCCGAATCTATGACGCAGTTTCTGTTACTAGTCTTATTTTTATAGCTGACTGGGAAATCAGCCCCGGGTTACTCTGTGAGTGAGGGTGGGAAGAACCCCAAACTGAGGGGTTGCTTCTGCCGCTTGTCTCCATTCTTTCTCTTTTACCTCTCCATCCTGCGGTGATGATAGACACTAGGAAAAAGAGTCCGTAACCAAGAAAAAATGACCACATGTGTATTTGAACTCTCCACCCTGTAGGTGCTCGTCCACAGCTGTGTGTGCTGAATGACCTTGGGCATTTGGATGTTTGGGGAAACTTCGTGCAGGACAAATCCTTAATAGGTTAAATATGCTTCTTATGTGACATAATAGCTGCTTACCCTGAGTGAGAATTATTTATACTAAGAAAATAATAACGATCAGAGCCCATCATCTCTTTTACTTTCATGTACCTGTTGGATCTTCAGTGTGTTGTCAGGATTGAACTGAATCATGACTGATGAATTGAAAATAATGTTATCTTCAAAAATATGAAAAATTAATCAGGTGTGGTGGCACATCCTGTAATCTCAAAACTCTGGGAAGCTGAGACAGGAGGATCACAAGTTGGGGCCTAGCCTGGGCAACTTAGCAACTTAGTGAGACCCTGTCTCAAAATAAAAAAGGGCTGGGGTGTAGATCAGTGTGAAGGCCCTGGGTTCAATCCCCTAACACAAACAAAAATATAGAAAATAGTGCTGGATTTTTCTCTGGAAGAGAGGAGAGAACAGTGTTTTCATCAGATGTGCTCTTAGGATGTGTCTCTCTCGAGTCACACTGGAGGGCACTGTTGGCACCCATGGTGTTGGCTGTACTGACTGTTTCGTCCCTTGTTCATCATTCTAGGTAGAAGGGCACGGTGGGTGTTCAGTGTCCATCCTGTATTTGCACTCTGTCACCTACTAGCTTTCTAACCCAGGGCAAATGACTTAACCTTAGCTGTTCCTTAAGTGACAGTTACTTGTCTGCAGATGAGGGTACTAGCTCCTACCTTACAGTGTCCTGGGAAATAAATGAGGTGTGCGAAGTACACAATAACCAGACACATGCAGCTCTCTTCGTGTGCTCATACCTGTGTCTACGTAAGCGCATGCTGCATGGCGCCCGAGTCCATGCAGTCCCCAGCTGCACGCAGGACGTCTCCAGCAGCAGCCTGCACTACTCTTCCCACTCTCCACCGTCCCTGCTCCTTTTGGACTCCTTATCTGGGTGACTGTGACACCTGGGGTCAGCCTAGACTGTCCTTCCTCACTGCTCTATTTATCCATTGCCTCTAACATCCCAAGTTCAGCCTGACATTGTCTTCACCACCACATCTGAACTTGGGCTTGCTTCTCCCATGAATAAATTGCATGGTTTTCCCAGCCTAGGACTTTGTGGGACTGCTTACATGGAGGTGTTAAGTTCTTCGGGATATTTGGCTATAAAAAGACAGAGCTAGTAGCTGCATGTTATTTGATTGGCTTTCCTTTCTAATATGGCTTTGTGCTTCATGTCTGTATGCCATGCACCTGAATGAAATTGTAGTACACACATTGAAGGGTTATTTTGCAGAACTCTCTAGGATAAGCAGAGGAAGCTGCAGGGGAAAAGGTAGTGGGGGCAGCAGTGGGGTCTCTACCACATAACTGAGCTTGCAGGGCCTCTAACGTGAAGATGGTTAGTGGTCTTGCTGCTTTGGAGGGTGTTTGTGCTGATGCCCTTCTCCTTCATTACTCCCGAAGTAAAGGTCATGCAAGAGAAATGAGGAGAATAAAGATCGTCCCCGTCGTGGGTTTTTCTGATGAAGGGAATCCAGGAGGAAGTTGAGAGTGTGTTCCAGGAAGACCAGTCATGGGAAGCTGCGCGAGAGCATGGCTGCCACTTAAAAACAGGTTAGGAGGCACTGGGAGGCTCACAGCCTTGCTGAGCTCTAAGTCAGTGCCTTTCTCCTGGGGATGCCTTTGAGAAACATGAAATAACACCTGAAGAAGCTATAGAAAATTTCCAATTTTTCTTGGCCTATTGAGATTCTGATTTGTGTGGAAAACTTTTTTCAGTGATTTGGATAGTTTTGCCAGCTCTTAAAACTTTGATTTCTGTTAGAAATATGTCAGAAATTATGTACGTTTAGAACCAAAGTGTAAACATACTTTGAGCGGCCATAAGCCCTGGACCAGGGAACAGCCATTTTTGTTTATTCTACCAAATAGTAAGTGCTCATGAGAAGTAGAGTTGGCTGAGTTTATGAAGACAGTATTTACTGTCATCTTTGAGTTTACAGATGAGGAATCTTACTACTCTGGGTGAGGCTTCTTGTATGCAGGTTTACCTTGTGCTATGTGTAGACATGAATAACTCCACAAGATTGGCTTTTATTTTTCTTGAGAAAGGGTCTTGCTCGGTAGTTGAGGCTGGCTTTGAACCTACATAATCCTCCTGCTTCAGCCTCCTAAATGTTGGAATTAAAGGCCACCATGCCTGGCTACTTTGTTAGAAGAGAGTGTCTTTCAGGTCACTTTTTCCTTGTCACAAATATAAAGAAATACTTTGAAACCTTTTCATATCTTGTAGCTGTACTTCAAGATGTTCATGTAATAAGTTTTTCCCCTATAATGTTAATGCTTCCCCAAGGAAGAACTATTACTTATTTAGAAGCTAAAAAATAACCTGTAGTAACGATATGATATGTATGTTATTAGTAATAGAATAGTTGGAAATGCCTGAGTATCTTTATCATCACTGTCCCAATAAGCGTAGGCTATATTTGACTGGTAGGTGCTTTCTCAGCCACTCTGTACACATCATATTGAAGCCAGTATTCTCAGACTTGAATGAGTTTGTAAAATCTGGTTTAATTCAAATCTGATAGGGAGGGAGCACATTGTGAAAATACATAGGCACAGGAACCTCATGAATGCTAGATAATGTATTAGTTTACAGTATAACAGGGTAACCATACACTTGAGGGCTCAAATTGAGTCCATCGCTGTGATACAGTTTTTGTGTGGCTCAAGTGGCTGTTGAATGTCAAGTGTGCCGAGTTCCTCCGGAGCACCTGACGACTCCCTCCTCCTTCGAGTTTCACCACAGTCTCAGAAGAAACCCAGCCGTCTCTGACTCTTGGCCCACAGGGTGTCACTGCTACCCAGACAGAGGCAGGCAGGGATTCCTGAGGCCAGGCATTATTGCACAGAGGTCTGTCCAAGCCAGACTTAGGCTAAGAAGGCCTGCGGTCAGCCCTTCCACAGTGGTCTAGCGTTAAAAAGGTCCAGGAAAGCACGCTAAGAAGCAGCGCCTGGTGATTGATTAGGTTCCAGCAACTAGTTGTCACACTAACAGAAAAGGCAACACGCAGCTTCACATTTCACACGAAAGACTCGTATTAACTGGGCCTGGCTTGCTGGCTTAACTTTCACATAAATAGTGATTATTATAATTTAGACCCAGGAAAAAACAATTTCATACCAGTCTTTCCTTCACATAAGTTTCATGTAGCATTAAAATTGTTATGGGGTAATGACTAGGCCATGAAGGCAAAATGTGTAACTCTCCTTTGCCAAAACAGAAAACATCCCTGTTTTGACTCCTGTCCAGTTTCCAAAAGAAAGAAAACATACATACACCTTTGTTATTGCACATCTTTCACAAAACTTGTGTATGTATAATATACATACTTAAATATGTTACACATTAAAAGACTATGGCACTTTATGGGATACATGTTTAACAAGGATCATTATATCACAGATGTTGGAGAACTACACAGAAACCCTCACATAATTAAATGTTACATTGTTGAATTAGCACACAGGTTTAAAGAACCCACAGACTCAGAGGCAAACACTGCTGCCTTAGAGTGCTTTGAGATGCCCAGGCTGTCAAGAAACTTTAAGCATAAATGCAGGCAAAATAAACCTTTCCTGGGAATGGTAACGGTCATATTTATTAGAAAGTAAGTGTGGGTCAACAAGTGGTTTTTAAAGAGCCATACAAAAGGAAAAAAAAAAAAGAATGACGAATAATAAAGCGCCATACAGAAAAGTTTTGGTCCAGACTAGCATTACAGTCTTTTATCCCAAAGAAAGGCTGGCTAGTGGGCCAAAGGTTTCACAGACCCAACGCTGCCTTTCCGTGCGGCAGAAGACTTGCTCTCCCTCTGTTATACTGAGTCAGTCTTCAGGTAGTTTTTAGTGGTTTGGGGTTTTATTTGTGTATGTGCCCTTTTTTCTTAGTCTTCTACATCATTCAAATTAATGAAATGAACACTGTCAAGTGACATTGCTCTGGCCAAGAGGTCCTATTTTCACTTGGGACTGCTGTGGATGGGTTCACTGCGACAGGGGACTGTGGGGAGCCCTGCCTCTGTAGCCAAGGAGCTGGTGATGGACATGTGCATAGGGTCCCCTGGGTTTATGACTTGTTCCTAGGAGGCTGAGATTGTAAAATGGATTCTGTATGTTGTAGAGGTTAATCTTCCAATAAGAAATTTAAGAAAAAATTTTTATCAAGATTTGTCTGATGTAGGAAGCTGCTTTGAATGAAAAATACTGCTCAGGTTTGAAAGTAGTTACCTGGCTGGCCGAGGGACTTGGTTAGACATTATAAAACACTTTCTGGCCCAGGAGTCTTATGTTGGGGCACCCATGACCTATTTCATGTGGTTAGAGAGATGGTTCATGTTTCCCACGCCTTTACCTAGGTGTTCCAGAAGGATTCCTGTGAACCCTTCTCACTCTGAAAAAAGCCAGAAGATATGAGCTTTGTTTTAGAAGATCTGCTCCTATCTTGCACTTGGCCTTTCCCTGTGAGATAAGGTGTTTTTAGTATAGGCCAAAGGCCAAAGGCCAAAGAGAGTTTAACAAAAATGTTAATCTCCCATTCCATTTCTGTAAAACAGTTATTTGTTCTGCCTCCCATGGTTCTAGATTCACACAGCTTTGACATTTACTGGTGCAAAGTTGTAACTTCTAAGTTTTGAATCCCTAGTGGTACTTAGCACACAATACCTTGCCAGTAGAAGGTGCTTAGTAGCTGTTACATTTTCAAAATAAAGCCCTCTGTGAGCAGACTCATAAACCCAGAGACTCAACGATCTTAATCCTTCCAGACACTGGACAGGATTCAGTTGGTGAGGGGTGTTTCTTCCTTTGCAGTATCTGACACGCCTGTCACGTCAGGCGCTCATTCTCATTACCACCTGCCCAATCAGTTACATTGGTAACTAATGGAAACTACATTAAAAGTCCTGAATCCTTTTTCCTTTTCTCTTCATCCTTTCTAATAGTGGTGTTTGATCGTTTTTGTAAACAGGTATAGGCGGGTGCTGTGACCTTGGTTTAGCTTGGGCTTTGCATAAACTTTCTACTCTGCTTTCCAAGTCTCTGGTGCAACTGTTCAGTTGCAGCAGCTTAATGTTATTTCAGTGTTCCTTCAGGATCAACACCAATGACTAGAGAAGCTTAACTCCCATCACTCGTTCCTTTTTCCTGCAAAGAATCCCATTCTGCTGCTGTGAGCACCTGCCTGCGCCACAGCTGGTGTGGAGCCTGCTGTCCCCAGAAGAAGGAAACATGTTTCCTTTGGCAATCAGAGCACAACTTTAGCTCTAGAAGGAGGAGGCTCGGCCTCCATGGGCGCTAGCCTGGCTGCTGGAGGAGGAAACTGTCTTCACCTGGCCAGGGTCCGAACCGCTATCCTCATGGGATTGTACAGGCCCTCAGTCTCTCCTTACTCACATTTCTGACACCTTGGGGCGACAGTTTGGTGATCCACTTTCCCCTGGAATTCGGTGTAGAGTAAGCCCCACACTGTTTAAAGGACCCCTCTGGTCCATTGGCACACATCCCACCCCCACTAAGTTGGTGATCTTCCTTTCAGTTTCCAACTAAAACAATGTGAAAGAATAGGAAGAAAACCAAAATGCCAACTTAAGACTTCATCCTAAGGCAGAGATGTGCACAGACATGCAGCTGTGGGCCAGAAACTTCCTCTTCGGTCCTCAAAACAGCCTGCCAGGCTAGCGGCCAACTACATGTCCCCTGCTACCAGAGAGACTGTGCCTTCATGATTCCGATCATTATCCTTCATGGAGCCCTGGGGAGATGGGGTCTGATCGGACCCCACAGCTGCAGTCAGGGTTGTCACAAGATGATCGCATTCCATCCTTATTTGCACTGCGGCCTGTATCCAGTAACTGCTTAGCCAGGTGTTGCCTCTCACTGGTCCTGTAAAGGCCTGGGCTGTGGGATGTGGCTTTGGTAGGTGAAGGCTATTTCTCCACTCGATTCATATGGCATGGACTGTTTCACAAGATTACAAAGGAAAAAATGGCATTTGTGTCTCTTTCCACACTAAAGGAGGCAGATAAGGTTTTTCCCTTCTTCGATTTCTTCCTGTACTTTGTCACTGGAAGTTGCAATTTCTGCTTGTGCGGAGAAGACAGCACAGATGAAGGTGAGGACTGTGCCGCCGATGGCAGTGTAAAAGGCCCAGCCCAAAGAGCAGTCTCCGGGTTTGTAGGCGGATGCATAGTGTCCACAGTAGTCTACGGCTTTCTGGCAGCCCCAGCCAGCAGGGTAGAGGATGAGACCGAGGATAAGGAACAGGCCTGCAGGACAGAAAAAACAGCTGAAGTCTGCAGCTCTACAGCCCACAGCACCCACTCCATCTGTAACTGCTGCTTGCTCTGGGTAACAGCATCTGTTCCTCAATAGAAAGTGCTAGAGACCGTTTTAGGCAACTCATCTGAGCTTAGCAAGAAATGCCACTTAGAAGTATTTTCAGCCACTTGTCTACATACTGCAGTGTGACTTCATAAATGATTCCTCTCGTGGGAAAGCAGACTGCACAGGCTGTACTGCTGTGAGCATTGCCACCTGGCTCTAAGGCCTAATGTGGCTTGATTTATTGGAACACAGGGCCGGTTCTTTACAGACTGCTTTTGTGCTAGACCAGCAGAGCTAGGTAGCTGCTACAGATCATGTGGCCTGCAAAACTCAAAATATTTACTATCTGGCTTTTTGTGTCCTGGCCCAAGGGAACTCTCACAGGACCATGAGAACGCAACTTGGTTAATGTGACACAGGTACCTTGCAGGAGGCCAGGCTTAACTTCATTGTCAGTGCTTCAAATACACCCATGAGAAGTGTCTGCTAGTATTTGCCAGCAACAAATTTCATGTAGTGATCTCTGCATTTGCAGATACATTTAGAGAAAAATCACAAACTTCCCAACAATTTTCTGTCTGGATGCTTGCAAGTCAACTCTAAGCTCTGCTGCTTCCATTCTGCTGTCACAGGAATTTTGCTCCCCACTACTGTGTCATAGCAGCATCCTTTCTTGTCCTGCTCACAGCCTGAGTTCTCCTGAACTGAGAACAGAGCAGTTAGGAGCTCTTTCCCCTGCCTATCTCAGGAGAGACACAGCTGAGATTTGCACATCAGATTTCATGCATAGGTGTCGCCAGCAAGTGAATAGCCTGGCAGTGAACGCTGGTCTGCCTGAGCCTCAGCTTGGCCCTGGCCCCCTCACCTCAGCAGAGCTGAATAGAAAAGTGAGAAAGGCAGTCCCCAGCCCTGAATCTCAACCAAGCAAACGCCAGTAGAAAGGCCTTGTTAAGCCCCTTAGTTCACCTGCGTGATGCATCAGAGAACTATGCTTTTTTCCGTGTAGCAGGAAAAAACTGGTTTCTTTGAAAAATGACAAAATTGCTAAATCAGAACTCAAAATTCCTATCTTTCTGATACCTTAAAATAAAATTCACCCTTACAAATAAATCTTGGCTTGTAGTTCTGTTTCTTTTCCTTGACAGAAATCTGTGTTCACTGCCTCATGGCTTCCAAGTCACTTAGCAACTTCCCTGCCCAGCAAAAATGACTGGAGTTGTAACACTGAGGTCTGAGGGAAGACTGGGGACAGCACTGCAGGCCACAGATCGCAACTTTCATGGTCATGTTCATTTAGGATGGGCCTCTTGCCTGGCTGGGCAATTTCGTCCAAGCAGTCTTTGGGCCTGACTTTTCCCGCTTCCCCTGCTGTCCCACTTCGGAAGCCTCAGGACACTCCGTGCTTGCTGTCTGCAGATGGGCAGTCTCAGAGGCAGTCTCATTCCCACCCAGAGCCCAAGACTGCTTTCTGTACAGCTGAGGGAGCCGACCAGTGCATGTGAAGTGACGGGGACGGGGTGAGAGGGAGCGCGTTCCCCTCTAGAGTGGGAGGGTCTAGAACTAGCAGTCTTAGGGTCTGGATTCAAGTGAAAAGCTAGAACCGTGCAGCACAAAAGCTCACATTAGGCAAGGACACGAACCAGCAATAATTCACTAAGTTATGAAGTGGTTCAGTCAGTTAGGACCTCTGCCTTGGAGTACAGTCAGGCTGGAGTCCAACATCTTTCCTCTGTGAGCTGGGTAACCTCAGAAAAGCTTTTTACCTGTCTGGTTCCTCACCTGGAAGGACAGGCTAGACCTTAAGCCCCACTATGGTTGTGAATTTTAAAGTGTAGAGAACTTTCTGCATTCATAACAAAATTGGAAAAAAGACCAGCAGCCTAACCACATGAAAGCACCTCACAGACTGCTCCAGCGTGGAAGTACAGCCATCAGCCTCCCCGCTGATGAGCAGTGGGGACTGAACCCAAGCAAGGTAAGAAAACCCCTGCCACTGAGCCCCAGCCCAGCCCAGCCCTTCTCTTCCTTTAGTTCAAGACAAATTTGCAATCCTTCTGCCTCTACCTGAGTAGCTAGGATTATAGGAGTTACCACCACATCTAGCAGATCTGCTGGGGGGTGGTGTATTTTCAAAGGTGTAATAATTTGGGGAAAGCAGAGGATAACAGGCTGCAGTTTAGCATCATTGGAAAGAATTGCTGTTCATCTAAACAGGTTTACACAGCAGAGATCTAAAATGACTTAAGGCCTATGACAAGCCTCGGTTAATCCTGCTGGCAAGTCTCCCTCTCTTCACACAGCCTCACCTGGGCACAGTGAGATCTGTCCTCCCTCAAGGTCTGACTGGCTACTCTGTGGACCCCAGGGCCCACTGGGCCTCTCAGCACACCCCCTGCGCAGGACTCCGCCCCTCTATGGGAGCAGATGCTCACCAGGCAGACCTGGAGCACGGGTGCTGTGCTTCCAAGACCAAAGTGTTCACATGTAGTAGTTTCAATTAAATATTGATTGCATGTTTCCTTTGTATGATCTTGTGTAAAATGAATGCAATTTCATATACCAGGAAGAAAAGACAAAGCGCAAGTTTGCTGTCACATACCAGCCCGGCCACCATGCTAAGCTCTGGCTGGTTGCAGGACACAAGAAATCACCCGAATGCGGCTCTTTGGGATCCCATTAGGAAGTAGGCAGCTCCTTACTGTAACAGCCTGAGCCCCCAGCTGCAGTGTGTGGAGCCCAGCGGGAACATGTTCCTCCCTTAGGCATCCCCTTCCCTAATAGCACAAGCACAGGCACGATTCTTAGGTGCTGCAGGCCACTGTAAACCCGCGGATCACTACTGGCCTAACTGAATGACGATAGCAGGGAGCCACACTTGAGTCTTGTCTAAAGCCTCAGTGGCAGTGAGAGTCCACTGCAGAACCACACAGGAGGTGAGAAAAGGTGGTCTGTGGGCATCTGTCCCAGCAAGGCACAGAGTGGGGACCCACATACTGCCCCAGGCTGGCTGGCTGTATGGGGGGGAGGCCTCGGCTGCTCCTCAGTGCACTGTCCCAACGGTGGCCTCTGCTCCTAGCACTCACCAGAGCACTCCTTAACACAGACTGTGCCATGAAAACACAGGAACTAGGTCTGGCAGACACAACAGTTCTCCAGGTAAGTGGAAAAACAGCCAGCTATGGTGCACACCTTTAATTCTAGCTACTTGGGAGGCTGCAGCAGAATGATGAAAGTTCAAGGCTAGCCTGGGCTGCTTAGCAGGACTGCGTCCCAAAATAACAGAAAAGGGCTGGTGATGTAGCAAAGTGGTAGAGCACTTGGTAGCATGTTTGAGGCCTTGAGCTCAATCCCTAGCATCTATAAATAGTATTTTTTTTTAATTATTAAAAAACTCTGGGCATTTAGATACAGCTCTTACATCAAGGAATTCCAGGTCTGGTGAGTCATGTGCCCTGACAGGTGATGCTGCCCTCCCCTCCAGAGTCCCAGAGCAGGGAAGCGGAGCCATTCATCACAGCCCCGGGGTCAGTCTCCAGAGCTCTCCACTGTGCAGGGGAGAGCAGGGTGCAGGCTGTGCACCTTGACCTGCCTGGCTGAGTTGCACCTGCCCAACTAGGAGGGGGAAGAATTGCAGGAAAAATGACATCAGCCCATGGCCCAGGACAGTGGAACCACCATGGAAAAAAGCCCTTGGTGCCCTGAGATGCTGTGCTGACAGGATGGTGTCCTAGAAGGGACCACTTAATTTGGGGGGCGGGTGTAAGGGTGGTTTACAATTGGTAATATGCTGCAGACATCTTAACAGGAAGATGGTGCAATTGCTGTCATACTTTCTCAGAGAAAAGCTGAAAAATAAGTACAAACCAAAGGTGCACAATTTGCTTAACTCTCTCCGGCCACATGGTGGCGTAGACACTGGCAAAGAGGGCCGTAGTGTAACCAAGGAGATAAAAGCTTTAAAGATGGATATTTCTCTTTTAGAGATAGGCCACCTCCCCAGCTTCTCAGGCTGCGTGTAAGCTGCCACGTCCCCTCAGCTTGGATGGATCTGGAATGTGTAGGAAAGGAACTCACAGATGCTGCCCCCAGGAGGCTGGGTTGTGGTTTGTATCCACAGGGAAGGGAAGAACCCAGAATAGCCTGGGGATCTCGCCTCCTGCCCCACTCTCTTCCTCCCACCGCCCCTGCACACTAATTAAGGTGTGGTGGAGATTTGAACTGTTGGAGTTAGCGTTAACTAAATCTTTTCACCAAAATGAGTGGCCTGCCATGTTTCTTGGGGAGACCATGTGTTTCTAGTGCAGACCTGCGGACAGGTTACCAGGAGGATCCCCACATCCAGCCCCCTCCACTAGAGAGGAAGAGTATTGTATTAGAAATCAGAATGAATTTTGTCCACTTCAAGTATGGTCAGACACACCTGTCACTCTGGTTCTCCTAACTGCACCTTTTCCTTCCACTAAATTTCTGAAAGAGAGCCCGCAGGGCAGAGCTGTATCCCTGTGAAAAGGCAGCATTTCCATGACCTTGCAGGACATCTCCTACCCTCTCGCTAACAGCCTCCTGGCACATTGCACCCACAGTCAGAAGACACCAGTGTCTGCTGACCACTGGGTCAGCCTAGAGCATGACTCAGCCTTATTGATGAAAGAGAAAGGAAATGAAACCAGCAGTTCCTCATGTGGACTACCCTTCAGACCACCCTAGGCTGCAGACATCCTGACAGCCTCACGGACAGCCCCACTGATACGAGCTCTCCCTGGGCATGGGCTCTCCTCGCCACCTCTCCACTCCGTGACCTGATTCCCGTTCATCTCTCAGCTGTTTCCTCAGCCAGTAAAGGGACTATCCCTGGGGAACCTGCGCATGTGGCTTGGGTGTAACTCAAACAGGCGGGGAGCTGTGCCTTACCACTGCATCCCCACTGCCCATGGCATGGAAG